CTCTCTCTCTCTCTCTCTCTCTCTCTCTCTCTCTCTCTCTCTCTCTCTCTCTCCTCTCCCCTTCCTGCAAATTCCCTATTTGTCTTTCTGTCTCTTACTACCCACATCTGATCCCTAGTTTATTCTGTCCTACAACCTCCTCTCCTGCCTTTTATCTTTCTGTTCTCTTATTTTCCCTACATGATTTTTCATTCCACCAAAAACCAACTGTCACAGCCTTGGTGGTCTGAAATAACTGAATAACATTGTCTTACAGTTCTGGATCTAAGAAGTCTGAAATGGCAGTAAACCAACCTTCGGGAGAGTTCTCTGGATAGTTGTCCTCCTGTACTTTCATTGTAAATCATCATTCCTTGGCCCTGAACTGTCACCCTGCTTTAAAGTCAGCATCCTCTGAACCCCTATCTTCTAATTTCTTTCCCTTTGGTAAAGACTCTTGTGACATCATCAAGCCCACTAAGAAATTCAAGGTAGTTTTGCCAGCATAATATTTCTCTCTCAATACAATGTACTCAGCTCTTTGGAATTATGAGGAAACCTTCATGGGTTCCAAACTTAAAGTTTGAAAATGATTGTGAAGCCTGGCATAGTATTTACATGACTGTTACCTAGTTGGTTTGTCTACATTTCTCCTGCATAGTCTCTCTCTACCTGACTGTCCTCTACACAAGTTTCTTCATCTTTCTTCTTTTGGGCAATAAAGTTCCCAAAGTCACACACAGTGTTTGTCATGATTTCATGTTGCTTGAAACTGCTCCTGGATCAGGATCCATGATGCCATGGACAGATTTCCCTGGTATGCCAGGTCCTGCTTCTTAGAATGGCTTCTCTGGAATCCACTGTCTACAACCAGGACTTCCTTCCTAGTCATTCTATTTAGCTGGGCTAGCACAGAGTGGTCCTGAGGAAGGGCAGGAGACGCCAGACTGGATATTCAGTACCTGACCAAGGGGAGAATTGGGCATGAACAAGACCCCAAATTGTGCTGCACAGAACTTTCAAGTAATCCAGAAAGTCTCATTTGGCCATGCTGAGAGAACTTCTCCTTTGAAAGTGAAAGCTCAGAACAGAATGCTGGGTACCCAGGCAAGGACACACGGTCTAACCACAGAATTCCAAATGGGATAAAATGTGTAACCAGAAAGTGATTCTACTGCCTGGAAGCAATGAACAAGACTGCCTGAGTTCACAGTCCTGAGCATTCCCCTGCATGATGCATGCAAAGTGCCATTCATGCAAGCACTTTCTGCACACCCACAGTACATTCCACACACACATGGATATTGCATGCCCAAGAACACTGGACCCTCTGGGTGTGTGTGAATAGTCAGAAAGATGAATCTCTGGTCATCTGTGATGGTCACCAGTTCCAGTGTCCACTAACCTCACCCAGGAGGTCCCAATTTACACACATGAACAAGTACATACTCTAGTGTTCAAGAGATCACACCCAAACATCTGAGGCAGAGATCTTGGCTTTATCCCCACTGATACACATGCTCCAAAAGAACTGGTAGTAATGATGGAGTTTTGGACAAAAGACATCAGAGTCAGGAAGCCTCAGCTCAAGTTCCTCCTAGATTAATGTCTCTCAGGATCCTTTCCTCAGTATTAAATTATAGTCACAGCTTTCTCCTATCAGAGAGCGGGTGCCTCCATCCTGTCCTTACCTCACAATGGACAAGGTTCTGACGATCTAAAACAATAAAGTTTAGATTCATGTGTCACCCAGAGGCACATGGCGGTTATGACTAGACAATCTGCACTGAGTAATAACATCTGAAACCTTTCTACATTTGTTCAGAGAGGTCTATCTGGTGCGAGGACAAAAAGGCTAGGAAGTTGCTTAAGGCTTATAGCCAACAGGCACACTATACAGGAACCTTTACATCTCATCTTTGAGTTTATAAGGAGATCTGTGTCTTGAGGTGGCTTGATAGGAGTTAGCAAGTGTCCTGGGGCAGATTTGCCAAGATTTAGCGTTCTTTCAAGTGGGAAAGAATTGATAGTAAGAAAGTATATGGCACATCATTCAGGACACCCTAGGAAAGTGGTTCTCAATCTTTTCAATGCTGCTACCCTTTAATATAGTTCTTCATATTGTGGTGGTTCCCAACCATAGACTGTCATTTTGCTATTGTTAGGAATCATAATACAAACATCTGTGTTTCCTCATGGTCTTAGAAACCAAAGTAACAAGGTCATTTGAAACCCTCCACTCCTGTCGAGTACGGCTGCAGTAGAGACTTCAGCAATTCCCAGGGATAGAATTCCTAGTTCCTGCCTGTGATCCTAGTTTCTAGTGCTGTCCCTTCACTATGGGGTTAATTCCTGGATTGGAACATCCTACAAACCTTATGCCTAGAATTCTAACCTGTCAGTCATCAAGTGGGCACCACCCTGACCTCCAACCCAAAAGTTCTCTGCACATTCACACCTTATGGAAAGGACTTCCCTTTCTCCCAGAATTCCACCTTTACACGACTGTAGCACTGTTGCAAGGGAGGCCTACTTGTTCTTCCAGGCTGCCCAGCTAGCTCAGCCCCAACGTAACCACACAGAAATTGCATTAATTAAATCACTGCTTGGCCTATTATCTCTGTCCTCTTATTGGCTAACTCTCACATCTGGATTTAACCCATTTCTATTAATCTGTATATCGCCACGTGCCAGTGGCTTATCTGGAAAGATTCGGCATGTCTGTCTCTGACGACTTCACGGAGTCTCCCTCTCTCTACCTTTCTTCTTCTCAGCATTCTGTTCTGTCTTCTCCACCTACCTAAGTTCTGCCCTATCAACTAGGCCAAGGCAGTTTCTTTATTCATACACATACAAACAGAAGGAATTTCGACACCATATAACAATCCCTAGAAATACTATGAAGGCCAGAGCACTGTGTGATTATAAAACACCACTATTAGGAATGACCAGAGTCCCACAGAGATGTCCCAAGGAAGACGTCACACCAGATAAGACAGCGTTCTTGTTCTGTCACTTTGGTGGTGGGAGTTTGCTTTTACAATTATTCTTTATCTTGTACAGATTTAGTTGAATCAATTTTTTCTTTTTGTCCATTATATTTGAAATACACACAAAGGCAGTTAAAGAGATGCATGTTAATGATGTCTATCCAGCCATCCCTCCTTCACAAATCTCAAGGCAACACTGCCATTGTCTTCACTAAGGTTTTTCAAGGCCTGGAATGTATGGTTCTGATTGTTTGTTAGTTTGCTTATTTTAGAAAGACATAGAGTTACTAGAAAGAAATGAGGCTTCTTGTGAAAGCCAGATGTTCAGCAAATGTTTGTGGAGTGAAGAAATGAGCTCCAGAGTCCAGGCATTGAGTCATTAGACACACGTGTTTACAAGGGACTGCCTTCCATAAGACTGTCAGCCTCAAATCTTTTACATCTATAAGCCCCCAAAAGCTGGGATTCAAGACGACTTCACATTCAATCTAGGAGGGCAGCATCCCAGGAAAAACCACAGCCTGTGCTGTCCAAGCCGTGATCTCCAGAGACCTGTTTCCCAGAGCCTAGTGACTTGAGGTGGAGGTGGATGCCATTTTTGGAGCGCAGGACCAGCTGGGAAATCTTGATTGGGCAGCTTTGAGGAATCCAGGGATCCAGACCGAATTCAAAGCAAACAAAGGGCTGCCACCACTTTCATCTCACTCATGGCAAACTGCTGCCCAATGCAGTTCCTGCAGCAAGCAGCAAAAAGAAGCATCAAGCTGTGACTACCCAGTGTTCTTAGAGGTCCACAAAAAAGCAGTAACTATTTGTTGATGATTGATAATGATTGATTGATTTGTTGGTGTGGGCATAAAAGACAAATCTTAGGAGCATGGTAAAGGGCTTCACTGAGTTTCTTCCCACAGGGATTCTGGCTTGCAGTCCCCCACAGAAGGGAACATCTACCCCACCCGTTTCCCTGGAACAGGAAAAATTAGCAAAAGCTCTCACAGAATGTTCCATATGATGCCTCCCCAATGATGGCCTTCAATTTTTCACTGCCAGTCTTGAGGGTCTGAGAATGTTGTCACTCTTCCTACCTGGGCCCCTCAGAAAAAGACATGTAGGCAAAGGGGTGGATTCCTGTCACATTCTCAGGAGAAAATCAGAATGAGTCAAAGACACATTTCTGCAATTCAGAGAGAGAGAGAGAGAGAGAGAGAGAGAGAGAGAGAGAGAGAGAGAGAGGAGGTAACGTGTGGAAGAACTGGGCTGCCTGGCCTGGTAGGCTAACTGCAGATCTTAACTCCTCCCTCAACTCCTATTACTGCCTACTTCCTCAGAGGTCCCAGACTCATGCACGGACTCATATAGTGTCTTGGGGTCCTGCCTACTCACTTGGAGGTTTGAGACTCACACCCAGACCCTCAGAGGTCCTTGCTCAGGCCTATCCTTTCAGAAGTTGCAGACTCACCTGAGTTCTTTTATGTCTGAATTTGTCCTATTGTGTATCTGCAATCCTTTTCTATCCTGGAGAGATTTTAAAATGGTAACTAGCGTTGTCGCAGCAGATACTGGGTGCTGGCTTCTTCTCTCTCTGCCCTTCAAAAAGGCAGAGGTACCATTACTTGTGACCACCAAGTAGAAGGCATGCTCCCCACTTTATATTTGTTCTTTTATTTATTTTATTTTTATTTTTTAAGTAATTTTATTAAATTATAAAAGTTTCCATTTCCGTCCCTCCTCCCACCACCCTCCCACTCCCCCTACTCCCTCTCCTCCTCCCTCTCCATCCCTAAGAGCAGTCAGGATTTCCTGCCCAGTGGGAAGTTCAAGTTCCTCCCCACTCCCTCCAGGTCCAGGAAGGTG